ATAGACATTAATTAACTTATCCAGGCCATAATCAACTCTCGATGGCATCGGTTCTTTCCGATATTAAATAGATTAGAACCGTTCAGCCATATTTTGATTTAAGCTAAAAATGGAGGAATGAGACTTAGCTTCGAACAACCAGTACGGTGGTTGAAATTATTGCGCAGGTCTTGTCAAACCTTCAAGCTAATATCTTTGCTGGCAATAGAGTAATTGGAATGAAATTTTCAAATTATTCATTTTACATTATCTTTTTTCGAACTATTATAACAAGAATGGCTAGCTCTTTATCTAAATCTTACATAATGTATCTTTATTATTATAAATGACTGTGTTTAATAATACCAATGACGTCGATATATATGTAGTCGATATAACGTTTGTTATGAATCGTTTAGTAACTGGATAAAGCAATAAATTAGATCATATTAGCCCTTATGAACTTTGCCAATCTCACGTCTTAGCTGCACCTAAACAAATAATATGCACACCATTGACAAGAAGCGCATGAGCACTACAAACTGTTTCTAGTGCTTTACAAAATATTCTCGTTGTTTATGAGATGAAATGAAATGGGGTTTAACGTCATACCGTTCTGCTCCTAACCTGGGCTAATGAAAACGGACATACGCCATACAGTGTGCTACGAGGGAAAGTTTGCCCGGACAGCGGCACTATGGCCTACTCTTATATCGAATTGCAACTGCTAAGGGAACTTTTACGTGCACGCCAATGTATACACGGGACCTCGGTTTTTCGTCCCATCCGAACGACTAGACAGCTGTCCTGGTCAGGTCCTCCTTTCTGCACCACTGACAAGGGGAAACCAATTAAGTCGGAAAATCCCGATGAACTTCCTCGGCTAATGCAGGGATCGACGCATTGGTTGTATAGGACGTTTTGGGGTTGGGTAGCCGATTGGTTAACGCGTGCACGTGAAATCACAAGGTTTGTCATTGAAATAGAATTAAACCAAATGTTAGTCCCGAAATAACCTTGTTTGTGTGTGTCGAGTGGACGTTAAATCTCTCTCTCTCTCTCTCTCTCTCTCTCTCTCTCGATCGATATATAAATGCTTTCAATTTCTTGGTTTTCTATTACCTATCTACCAGGTGTAGACCGTCAATGTATAGAATCTAACATTTGTTCGTTATATTGACTTTTGAATCGAAATCAAGTAGATTATTTACACACTGTAACAAAGTAAATACAGCTAATGCTTCTCTCTGTGTAATACCCTGATTTTTGTAATCGGCAAATCAATTTAGACTTTTATTTCTTATCGCTAAAGAAAGATACCTTTTATATTAATAAACAAATAAGACCAAAAACTGCCCCCGGTGTAATACCCTGATTTCTATAATCCCATTTGTTCGCGGGTTTAACGTCCACTTCCAACTAGGGCGATATCGCAGACAACCTATAATCCCAAAATCAATTTAGACTTTTAGTTCTTATCACAAAATCAACACTAATTTCATTTTCTGTTCTCCAGGAACACCTGTAAAAATTGTCTTTCTTATTTCTTCGGGAAAAAGTCGTATTTAAAACAGTAGTACTTAGTTAAGCTATTCAGAAGAGTGGTTTCTCCTTGTCAGTGATGCAGGACGGAGGGCCTGACAAGGACACAGCTGTCTAGTCGTTCGGATGGTACGGAAACCCGAGGTCCCGTGTGCATATTAGCGTGCACGTAAAAGATCCCTTGGCAGTTGGAATTCGATATAAGAGTAGGCCTTAGCGCCTCTGCCCGGGCAAAATTTCCCTCATAGCACACTGTATGGCGTATTCCCGTCTTCATTAGCCCAGTTTAGGAGCAGAACAGTAGGACGTTAAACCCCATTTCATTTCATTTTCTATTCAGAAGCTTTTAGGTCCAAAGTTTTAAGTTGTGAATTTTTAAACTATACATCTTTCACGCGATTCAGGTGATTATTATTTATCAAGACCTCGATAGTCAAAATTTAAATTTGTGTGGCCTATCGAAAAATACGTTTTATATTAAAGATACATTATGTAAGATTCAGATAAAGAGCTAGCCATTCTTGCTATAATATTTCAAAAATAGATAATGTAAAATTAATATTTTGAAAATTTCATTCAAATTGTGAGCGAAGATATTGGCCTTTGAAGGTTTGACAAGACGTGTGCAATAATTCCAACCACCGTACTGGTTGTTCGAAACTATGTCTCGCTCCTCCATTTTTAGCTTAAATCAAAATATGGCTGAACTGTTCTAATCTACTTTAATATAGGAGAAATCCGATGCCATCGAGAGTTGATTATGGTCTGGATAAGTTAATTAATGTCTAATTAATAATTTAGATACCATCTCAAGCCCAAAGAAAGACCTGTAATAGGCAGATTTAGCTCTTGCATAATGTATGTTTAATAACCCGTTAGAATCCCTTTACTGACCCAACATGTGTTAACTCATACCAACTACTCACAATGTACCCAGAGAACAGGAAAGTAAACACAAAATAAATTAATAATTAAATAAGTCCAAAACTGCCCTCTGTGTAATACCCTGATTTCTATAATCAGGTTCATTCGTGGGGCTTAACGGTCGCTTCTACCTAGGGTTTTATCGCAGACAAATCTATAATTCCGAATTAGTTTACACCTTTAGTTCTTATCACTAAAGAGGGAAGTGTGTGTGTGTGTGCCGGGGAGGGGGGGGGGGGGTAGTTAACGACTGCGCGTTGAATCAGAAGGTGGGTCATTGAGTCAAGGGGCGTGGCGTTGTTTCGATTCCCCACTTGTACCTGACGTGGCATGGTTGCGATTCCCTACTTGTACATTCCAAGGAGCAGTGTCGCCTGTCCAACCTCATGGGATTTCTCCGGGTCCTCCGATATCCTCCCACTACTAAAAACCCCTACGCGCAAGCGAATTATTGAAATAAAATTGAACCATTATTATTATTATTACAGCATATTTATAGTGCACCCTTTCATATAACATGTTCAAGGGCACTTTACAAAGTGACAATGTAAATCACACATAAACAACAAGATTATGGACATGTTAACGATTGTATACAGAGTCAGTTAAAAGCCTGATTAAATAAATGTGTTTTAAGTTGTTTTTTTAAAAGAATATAGAGATGTACAACATCTTAAACTAAATGGTAGATTATTCCATAAAACAGGTGCTTGATAACTAAAAGAGCGCTGACCATAAGAGACTAGTTGAACAGTTTTGGGCTTTAAAAGATGTTAGTCCCAAAATGACCAAGTTTGTGTCAAGTGAACGTTAAACCCCATCTCTCTCTCTCTCTACCCCTCTCCCTCTCCCTCTCTCTCTCTCTCTCCCCTCTCTCTCTCCCCCTCCCTCTCTCTCCTTCTCTCTCACTCCCTCTCCCTCTCTCTCCTCTCCCCCCCTCTCTCTCTCTCTTCTCTCTCTCTTATCTCTAGGGGGATCACGTGGCTAAGTGGGTAAGACGCTAGCTCGCTAGCCTGGAGGTCGGGTGTTCGATCCCTGCATTGGCCGAGAAAGTTCATCCAGATTTTCCGGCGTGGTTCTCCCTTGTCAGTGATGCAGGACGGAGGGGCTGACAAGGAAAGCTGTCTAGTCGTTCGGATGGGACGAAAAACCGAGGTCCCGTGTACACATTGGCGTGCACGTAAAAGATCCCTTGGCAGTTGGAATTCGATATAAGAGTAGGCCGTAGTGCCGCTGTCCGGGCACAATTTCCCTCATAGCACACTGTATGGCGTATGCCCGTCTTCATTAGCCCAGGTTAGGAGCAGAACAGTAGGACGTTAAACCCCATTTCATTTCATTTCATTTCTCTTATCACTAAAGAAAGACAGGGAATAATATTAATAAACACACTAGAATGCCCCCTACTGACCCAACACGTGTTTAATCATACACCGTACTTACAATATACCTAGAGAACAGCAAGGTAAATAATGTTTAATGTAGAAGTAATTGAAGGCAAATTGATTTAATGTATATCCAGTTTCAAGTAGCGGTTTTAATGTCGAGATATAAACTAGTCTGTTGTCATCGGCGGTAATCTTACGGACCCACAATTTTTTCTCACAATAAAACAAGTTAGTTTTGTAATTTATTCAAACTCACGGTCTGTTTATTTATTTTTACTTTTAACAGTCAAGATCTGGCCCCAGTTTTTACTCAGTCTAAGTTAAAAATTTACTCAACTTTCAATCACTGTTTATGATCTTTGATCCAGAAACACAAAAATTATTGCAACAGAGGTTAATGTCATGAAGGTTAAAGTTACATTATGGGAGATTAGATAAATCTCAGTCAAATTGATCCACTCTGAACCGAGAATTTAGCGATTGAATTTTCGGCCTAGCCTCGATCATCATTAGTAAAGTCGGAAAAATAAAATACATAGTCTCGATTATCCATTTCATGATTAAATCATGAATTGAAGTTGAGCAGCAAATCGGATCCTAATACAGTAAATATCGCAGGCTAGCGATGCCATCTAGAGTTGATTATGGTCTGGATAAGTTAATTAATGTCTAATTAATAATTTAGATAACAAGGAAGACAAGCAATAGGCAGATTTAGCTCTTGCATAATGTATGTTTAAGAAATGAAATGAAATGAAATGAAATGGGGTTTAACGTCCTACTGTTCTGCTCCTAACCTGGGCTAATGAAGACGGGTGTATGTTTATGGCTACAGAGGTTAAGTTGATAGAGGTTTCGGCAACATAGGTTCGTTCCTCGAGTTTTACTTCCATGTCCACCAAGGGGGATATTGTAGACAGGCTTTGCCAAAAAAACTTGCCAAATCGAAGCCACAAAACAGAGGTTAATATCATGAAGGTTAAAGCTACAAAGGTTTCGGCACCGAAGGTTAAGATCACAGACGATAAGGCCACAGGGGTTAAGACCCGGAGATTAAGGCCACAGTGGTTAAGGCCTAGGAAAGATAAGATGGGCGCTTTATTATCATACACATTGTGCTGTGAAATAAACCGTGTAAATATATTATACCTTTTCTCTTTGTAACAGGAAAAAAGCAGAAAGATACTGTAATCCAATAATTGGCTGGGATCCAATACCCTACCAAGATGACTTCGGTAAGTCCAGGGGATCAAACTGTAAGGATACGGAGATTATAGAATTAATTGTGATCCACACAGAAGCAAAATATCGTTCCGCTTTGTTGAGATTTTATGACATTTGACTCTGGTACATAATATCCTGGATTTGGTTCCAGGTGTGCTGGTGGGATATGATTACCTCTTGAGTGACAAAATACTTAAATACTTGCTCAACGTCTTCTATTTCCACACCAGGCAAAATTATTGTTTCACTTGTGATACGAACTTAAGATACATTATGTAAGATTTAGTTAAAAATCAGGCCGTTCTTACTATATTATTTCAAAATTAGATGATGCAAAATTAATATATTTTCAATTTCATTCAAATTACTTCATTCTGAGACAAGTTATCACTGTTTGTAGTTTTGGCCACATGTGTGCATCTTTTGTTTATTATCGCAACCATGGTACTGGTATATTCGAGGCTTAGCCTCGCTTCCCTATTTTTAAATTAAATCATTAAATTGCCGAACCGTTCTAATAATAATAAATTTTATTCGTACACTAAGTACAATAAATATGAAAAAAACCCCCCAAAAAACATATAAATATATACAAGTTCTCAATGAATACAGAGTTGATTAATTATTTCATTTAAGTTTATATATTCAGATGGTGAACAATCTCTTAAATCTATGTATTCCCGTATAGCATTTCCTATTATCTTATTTTCCTTCCAGGAACTTTTATCGTGACATTCTATTTTATCTACAATATTTAACAATGACTTACGTTCTAAATTGTATTTTGTTATATTATAATGATATGATAAGTAATTGATATTATTGCACATAGTAGACTGACTCCCCCAACAACGCAGTAAGTCCACATATATGAAGACATAAATTACTACTATGTATAATACTATGACAGAACTTAATAAAACGTTTATGAAGCTGAGTTTCAATTGACATAATATATTCAATAAACTATTGTGGGTTCTTGGGGAAATGTTGAATACTTTCCTTACCTGTTTTCTCCAGGCTACATTAAAAACTCTCTAATGACTTTTGTGAGAAATCCCATAGTTGGCTCCCATACAGGGGCATACAATAAGTTTTGAATAATTTATATTTAACTTTAGATGAGGAGAATGTAAAATTTCTTAATGTTACACTACTTTTAACAGTAAAATTATTTATAGTTGAAATCTCTATCATCCGATGGCCTCGAGATTTGATTATTCTCTTGTCATGTTAATAAATGTCTAATTAATAATTTAGATAACATTTTAGGCCTAATGAAAGACCTGCAATAGGCACATTTAGCTCTTGCATAATGTATGTTTAACCTTTAACACAAAATGGCGCTAATAGGGTGTCGACATGGGAAATATGATTATATTATAGCACTCTACAATTATATCATTTCAGATATATCATCATGGATGAAATTGCAAAATGAAGGATGTTTTAAAAAGAGTAAGTATAAGAAGATTTATTGAATATCATATACCTTGATAATTTGATAACATATCGGCGGCCTCTGTGTTCATTACCCAACTTTAAATGACACAAGCTGATTAAAACACAGATCTAATTTCGTTTTTTATAGTTAAAAATTTCGTTTTACTTGTCTTCACAACATTAGGATCTGAAAGTGTTGTTATATAACAGGCGTTCTACTTGATGTGAGGAATTAGCCAATGAAACCGTCTGTTACGGCGAGTTCTGGGCATTCTCTGCACGGAACTGTGGGTAAACCCCTAGACACGCCAACGCTGATTGATTTAATCAATGTCTGACGCCATAGGGTCAAACACCGCTCGTATAACCACTGAGGTGACCTACCAGTACAATCGGTCAGATCTTCATGTAATGTAGGCCATCGAAAGTATAAAAAAAGAACCGAAACGAAATATAGATCTGTATTTTAATGAGATTGTAAATGACATTTATTCATGTATTATCGAAACATCGAGCTTCATCTTTATGTTTGTCACAGTACAATACCTATTATATTCCAAACAGACATTGTCAGTGATAATTAATTATCAAGAATTTGGATCTCTAATCCATCTGGGGGGGGGGGGGTTGTATGGCCAAATGGTTAACACCGTGCGCGCTGTATCATAAAGTCTGACATTGAGTCAACTGGCGTGGTTTAGATTCTCCGGTTGTACATGACAAGGAGTAGGGTCGCCTGTCCAGCCTCGTGGGTTTTCTCCGGGTCCTCCGGTTTCCTCCTACTGCTAAAGACCCCTATGTGCAAGCGAATTATTGAAATAAAATTAAACCATATGTTAGTCCATCTCTCTCTCTCCCTCTCTCTCTCTCCCCTCTCTCTCTCTCCCTCTCTCTTCCTCTCTCTCTCTCCCTCGCTCTCCCTCTCCCTCTCTCTCTCTGTAATCCATCTGGTTACTTCCATGGAATGTGGGATTTTCACGTACTACCAGCTAACACCCATTTAACCTGGGCCCTGTTTCTCGAAATCTTAACTAAAGATAAAATCCAAATTTTATTAGATATTTCAATTTTGATTGACTAAGCACTAAAATCAATCTAATATTATCCAATCAAATTACTAAAATCTGGATTTTATCTTAGTTAAAATTTCGTGAAACAGGCGCCAGGTGTTAACCTCTTAGACTTTAACCTCTGTTGTTTTGACCCCGTTGGCATTAGCCTCTGTGGTCTTGACCTTTTACATTAACCTCTGTGTCCTTAACCTCTGGTTTTGAACCCTATTGCCTTAACCTATGTGGTTTATGTCTGCGTGGCCTTTACCTCTGTGGCTTTAACCTCTTTGGATTTAATATCTTTGGCCCTAATCTCTATGTTCGAAACGGCCTCCCACCACTTCAATGTCCGCATTTTAATAAAATAAATATTTCAATATTTTCAGGAAAACCAACCGACGATGATCTGTATAGACATATACCAAGTGGTAGATGCAGTCAGATAGATAATGTATCCATGTTTGAAAATGAAAGTTTAGCGGAGAGATTTCGCCCAAAGAAAAGTCAACAGGTAGATGAAGACAAACTATACAAAGATTCACCGGAAAAGGTGGCAGGAAAATCTGTCGAGACATCAAAGGACAAAAGGTGTGAACCGCCAAAACAGAAGTATAGACAGTGTAAAAGTGCTCACCCCTCCGTAACTATCGATCAATCTGCGACTGTAAATTGTGCCACCGTACAAAAACCCGCATTAAACAAACAAGAACTGAAGTCAACTGAGCATTTACAATCCACAGAACACAAAAATGTGACTGTGAATAAAAAAGATAAGGTGGATGACGAGGACGAAGATGTTAATGATGATGGATACGGTTCTAAGATCTCGGGTACCGATGATGCTGACACCGGAACTGACATCACCCCGGTTCCTCTGCTTGATCTCGTGGGAGTAGCGGAAGAAGAATCACACATAGAAAGGACGCCATCTTCTTTTAAATGGGTTCGAGAGAAAGACAATGGTGTTAATAATAAGATTACTAAATTAACGTTTGGTCAGAGTGACCATCCCGTTAATACAGCCGTTAACCGTAATGATATTATAAATAGCTCGCGGGCATTCGTCACTGATTACATCAAACGTTGCCAACCCCAGTCTTCCACCAAATCAAACATTTCTACGGACCAAAGACCCAAGAGTCTGGTTTTAAGCCGTGTGGGTATACAGGACTCGAACTCAACAGATCTGTCCGTCGCGGACGGAAATGCGTCAGGTGGTATTTCGAATCGATCGTCCTCAGTCATTGCAAAAACGAATCCAGAACTTAACGTCTCGAATCTAGTTACCGAGAGTTTGCCCAATAGGACTAGTAGTAGACAAACTGTCTCTAGACCGGGGAACAGGACTGGTAGTCATAGAAACGTAGATAGCAGACGTGGTTCGGTAGTCGATCACGAGCGACAATCTGTACCGTTTTTTCCTATGACGGATTTATTACCGGCAGTGGATCTGAATATTCACACGAAACAGCAAGAACGATATGCAAAACACAGCGTGGAAGATTATTATGGTAGGATAGGGTGTGGTAATCCTGAAGAATATGCAGATATGAGTGGTATAGAAGCTCTATCCCAAGCATTAGATAAGGTAGGTATTTTCTGGAAATACTTTTTTCCCATTATTTGATAAAAATCATGATTTCCGTTTAGAAGTAATATTTCAGATTTTAATTTCTATCCATTATGGAGCCACGTTGGCTAAGTGACCCCACTGTCACGGCAGATTCCTTTCTCATAGCACACCCAGGGCGTCATTAGTCCACTTAGAGCAAAAGGTAGAACGTTAAAACCACATTTCATTTTATATCTTAATTTCTTGATAAACTGTTGGCAATTAAAGACTCGTAGGAGATTCTCTGTATATCCGTAAATACCTTGTGTTGTGTAATGAAACGATCCCTTGAAGTCCTTCATAGCAAACTGTCTGGCGTACGTCCGTGTTCATTAGCTCAAGCGGTGAAGAAAAGTTGTATGTTAAACCTCAGTTCATGTCATTGTTTCTGTTTTAAAACATATTTTAGGCAAGAGCTAAATCTGCCTATTGCAGATCTTTCTTTAGACCTGAAATCTTATCTAAAGTATTAATTAGACATTAATTAACTGATCCAGACCATAATCAACTCTCGATTCCACCGGATACCTGCGATATGTAGTAGATTTAAATACCTTTTGTGCTGGGTGCGGTTACCGTAAAAATGAATAATCGAGACTTTGTTTATTATCTTAACAACGGCAGTAATGATAATCGAGGTTAGCCTAAAATTATATCGCCGATTCCTTGGCCCAGAGTGAAATAATTTGACTGAAATTTTCCAACTATTCTCTTTTCATTGTCTATTTTTTAAACTATTATAGCGAGAACTGTCAGCCCTTAATCTAATATTCCATAATGTCCCTTTAATTAAATGTTAGTTAAACAATCAATTTGAGTATGTTAAGACGTGGACAATTTAATATTCAAGCATCCTATATGAAATTGAACATACAGTGTTTTACGTTATTTTCAGCATATAGGACCTCCAGCGTTTCGCCCTCATTACTTAAGATCGCCATTACAGAGAGCTCGGGAACAAAGCAACAAAAGAGTTCTTGGACAATTAACGCATTTAGCGGTAAGTTAAAACGACAAGCTGTACAAATTAACCAAAGTGTCTTAGTTCGACTACTTGTAAACTTTTAGATCTACGAAGCTATAGTATAATGGTTGAAGATCTTGCTTAGAAATAGTTTAGGAATTCACCACATTGTACTGTTCTTAGATCAATTTCAAATCTTTGTAAGAAGGCTTTGAATAGACGCCGTGTAAAGATTCTTGATCCCTCGACACAGTCTTAGAAGGTTCCAGATAATACTGTTCTAAAAATTCATTTAAAATCTGTACACTAGATAGTACCTAACCACCGGACGATAACTACTTAACAAGTTTAACAATTGTTCTTACAAGAACCTAAGGGTTGGCCTGCAACACAATTTGTTATATTTTTAGACTTCGCAAATAACTGAGAGGTGGTCGTTGTGCTGGATGTCACTGTATTTGCATCATCATCATAACATTTGTTAACTTCCCAAATAAATGAGAAACGGGGTCCCTTGAAATGGCGCATTATAAATATGCTGTAATAAAAACAGAGTTAGCATGTCTTACCCCATTCCCCATTACTAACGGCCACGACTTCGACAACTGAAGTCATCATCACCACCACCACCACCCCCACCCCCACCATCATCATCATCATCATCACCATCATCATCATCATCATCATCATCATCATCATCACCACCACCATCATCATCAACATCATCACCACGACCATCATCTTACATCCTCATCATCATCATCATTTTATGTATATTATATGTCAACTGTATTTCAGGATGGATCGGAGACGTATAGAATATGTACACCTCGATTTTATGTAGATAGACCATTAAATCGTAGATCAGGATCCGCAGATAGGTAAGTTTTATAAGTCAGTACTTTTATATCGTAAATAAACTCTGGGTATAGAACAGCAAGTAGAACGGCACGCGGTTCTTATAAATGTTTGTGCATGTATATTATTAGCGTTGTAACAGGACATCAGGGTTTTTTTCAGGTGTGATATTGCTTAAATACAGGTGTATATGCTTGGATAGCCGGGTAAACCTCGGCAAACTTCGGTACCCTACATATAGCCCAGGCTGTATGACGGTAAGCGATATGTCCCTACACCTATACAATTGCGATGCGGCTCCCGGTTTAATTAACAGGAATAATTTTAGAAATAAGTTCTCAAAATTGCGTTGTTCGAAGAGTGTGTAGAGTTTTCATTGCAAAAATTGTCCTTTCTTTAAAGAAAATCGGATAAACTTGAAAGAAAACAGCTTCAGACGTTGAAAATTTTGTATGATAAAACACTCTTCACAGGCGTCTTCATGGGCGACGCCATTTGTAATCCAAGAAGTTGAAAGTAGTTCCATCGGCGGATTTGTTCATACAGCCGAGCCTAGATGTAGGGTACTGGAGTCTGCAGATGTTTGCCAAGTGTGATGTTGGTTGTAGCAGCTACTTCCTGTTTCAAACTGGTTGTAGGCGTACACCACATTGTATTGCTACTCCGTCTGTCTTCAAATTGCTCCAACATTTATGAAATGAAATGTGTTTTTACGTCCTATTCTTCAGCACCAACGGAGTTTCCAGCTTCTTTTATTATATTTTCAAACTGCCAATGCCTATACGGAATTTATCGTCACATCAGAACGATAAGACATATTTCCTCACTATGCCCTACGTCTGGCACCACAAGGTAGATTCACGCTGGCAAGTTTCAAGGAACTTTCTCGACCACCACCGGTATCGAACGTGTAGGTCACCGAGTCCACACTGCGTGGTGTGTGCCCTCATTTATTATCCCGGTAGGTGTAGAAAACGTAGGATATTAAACCCCATTTCATTTCCCCTTTGGAGCCACGATGTCGAAGCGAGCAAGGCGCTGGCTCGCTAGCCTGGAGGCCTCTAGTTCGCTCCCGGTGTTGGTCGAGGAAGTTCATCGGGATATTCCAGCATAGTTTCCTCTTGTCAGTAGTGCAGGACGGTGGGCTTGAATAGGGCAGCTATCTAGTCGTCCGGATGGGGCGAAAAACCGAGGTCCGGTGTACACGTTGGCGTGTACGTAAAAGATCCCGTGGCAGTTGAAATTCGATATAAGAGTAGGCAGTAGCGTTGCTGTCCGCGCAAAATTTCCCTCATAGCACACTGTATGGCGTTTTCCCGTCTTCATTAGCCCAGTCGGAGCAGAACAGTAGGACGTTTAACCCCATTTCATTTCATTTCTCTTGTACTATAATAAAGTCCTTTATATGCACATATTTATTGGTCTGCGTCCTGGCTATGTAAGACGTTAAACAATTTTTATTTCCTGTGCTTTCTTGAAATAATATACAGACTATGTTGTAGGACACCTCGAGTCAAATTATGTTTATTCGGATCTGTGGCACCCAAAACAGCTGAACCTAGGAGAAAATCTGCACAACTTGTAAGCCGTTCAGTCAATTAGAATAGAGCACTTCACCGTTACTATTTGTAGTGTAGATTTAGCCTCACTAGTGAAAACTTTATCCTTTTTTTATTTTATATTAAACATTTACTAGAAAACTAAAATTATGAGTTAAGCCAGGATCGTGGGGGACCAAAGTCGTTGCTCTGTCCAACTGGAAAGATGACAAAAGAAAATTAATATACCAGAATTCAGTGGATATAAGTCAAAGGGAATTGATCCAGGACATCGGTTTCCAATATTTCCGAAAGTGTCTTCTCTGGGAACCAATCTGATTCAAATACAGATCTATATTTCGTTTCGTTTTTTATACTTTCCATGGCCTACACTACATGAATATCTGACAAGTTATAGCGATAGGTCACGTCAGGGGTCAAAAGACCGACTTATGACACTTTTGACGTCAGACATTTGATTAACCAATCAGCATTGATGTTACTAGTGGATTACCCACAGTTCCGTGAAAAACACGCCTAAAGCTCGCCGTAACAGACCGTTTCATTGGCTTATCCCTGACACCATTCAGAACACGAGTTAAATAACAAGTCTTCCAGATCCAAGTGTAGTAAAGACAAGTAAAACGAAATTTTGAACTATAAAAACGAAACGAAATAGGATCTGTGTTTTAACCAGATTCCTCTGGGAACGGGAACGAGAACTACCCAAGTACCTTTTGTGTCAGCGTTTCCTCTCCCCTCACCATGTTCGCCATTTTGGAAAACCCGAGCTAACCCCGCCCGTCTGGCCTGAAACAGAATGTTGTCAAAGTCCTTAAAACTACTGGTCCCAACCGTAGACGGAACAGCTGTTCGTCTCATCACGACAGTTCTTCGATTTATAATCCTCTAAGTTGCTGTGTGAAGGTGCTGCGCCATTCATCTGTCATTCCCTAAGGTGATCACCGATTAGAATCCTTCAAATGCTAGTTACAGACAAACATCACCACTAGGAGCCTGACACCCGAATCCCTAAACTGTTAGATTTCTAGATATTATTTTCATTTTTAAGCTGAACACAGCCACGATTTAAACTAGGAGACAGCCGCCTTAATCCCTACACTGCTAGATTTCTATATATTATTTTCATTTTTATGGTGAACACAGCCGAAGTTATAGACCATCGCCACCATTTAAGCCTAGGAGACTGACGCCTGAGTTAACAAGTGGTGGTGTTGTTGCTTCCCGGCATGGGCTGCTGGTGCATCTCAATTTATGGCGATAGATCGTACGTCTTAATGTGAGCGAGGGCACGTGTTTGCTGTTTAATTTGTTTTTCTCAAATGGTTTTCAATCTAATTTCACTGACTGATCTTATAAGGGAATATGACTGTCTAACACACAATTTTAAAGATCCCGAATTATTAAAGTATTAATTGAATAACTGTATCCAAGGAAGTGGGATGACAGCTAAACCTTTACCAAGGTCCTAATCGATAAGACAGTCTTTATCCAGGAACATGTTCCGTCAACTAGTCTTAACACTGATCATGGTTAGATCTAAATATTAAGGCCACTTGCAGATTTCGTCAAGGTTAGGAGATGTAAACAGGGTTAGCGTGAACCCTACCTACCCTTAACCCACAATCACGTGCCCTAACCCGTTTACATCTCGTGACCACGAGGAAATCTGCAGGTAGCCTTAATATTTAGATCTGACCCCACTGATCATACTTATCCTATGCATAGGCCTAGAATTTCGTGAGACGGTAGGCTAAACATAAATTGATATTAAATACTGCTGTCAATAGCTTATCGGAACAAGGTTACGTCGATATAATGGCCTCACGAAACAACAATTTCAGCCAACGAATTAATTAACACATGCACCGATGGACTAATTTTACATTTTAAAAAACAAACCCTCTTAATATAGATTACTAATTTCCCAATTTTGAATCCTACTAGATTCTATTGTGGGTTTTATATTGTAATGTTAACTCATTGTTGTCGCACTAATAGACCTATGATGGCAAGTTTTTTTTATAACCCAGTTAAGTTTCAGAATTCCCATAATACACACCATGGTATTAACACCATCTTAAAATTAAAGTTTTATGCTAGGGAGGAGTACTTTCCTCGGTTTGCCGCTTTTCTGAAGGGATCGTTTACGTTTGCATTGTCTACGGGTATTCCTCGTCTGAGCATACGACTTGTAAAATTAGTCACGCAGGGGTTAGGGTTAGCCAGTCACCTAAGATTTATCTTTAAATACAATCTGATTAAAAGGCAGATCCTATTTCGTTTCAGTTTTTTATAATTCAAAATTTCGTTTTACTTGTCGTTACTACACAAAGATCTGGAAGAGTTGTTATATAACCCGCTTTTGGTTGATGTGAGGGGTTAGCCAATGAAACGGTCTATTGCAGCGAGTTATTGGTGTGCGATGCACGGAACTGTGGGTATTCAACTAGAAACACCAACGCATTGGTTAATCAAATATCTGACGTCATAGGATCAAAGAAGCTCGTAGGGCCCCTGACGTGACCCCCACTACAACTGTTCATGTGGCACAGACCGTCGAAAGTATAATAAAACGAAACGAAATATAGATCTGTATTTTAACCAGTTTGTTTTAAATAGTTCCGTAGTCGAGTGGTAAGGGGGCATTGCGTACGTAATCAGAGAAATAAATATTGACCACATCTCACAATGACGAAGGCGATATTCAATCGAAAGGTTTTAGATTTGCAAAATGTAACGAGCAATACAGGAGTTTTCTCCCTTTATCGTAATATACCTTAAACTACCAGTCTGTTTCACAGAGTTATTGCGAAAGCCGTCTAATAAAAAAAGCTCCGAAGACGATGCCTGACCTTTATAAGTTCATTTATGTCTTCTACGTGTGACGTCACATTAAGCGGTGTCGTGCATTGTTTACATTTAGACGTAGTAACGTAAACTGGTCCGGGCAGAATGGTGCCCTTTACTCATCTAATATACCCATTTACACTAAATAGGAATATACTTCAAACACCTTTATTTATTTTTTTATAATAGTTCAAAATAAAAAAAGTTCTAGAATTTAATTTGCTGAAGGAAAAAAGTAAATATTGTGAGGTAATTAACCCGCACCGATGCTATCAGTGATTGTAACGGCCTGGCGAATCTTCACTGCGGATCACTGTGTTCGGAAATTTAATTCTCTCAATCCCCAAAGTAGTGACATTCGAATGAAAAGGTGGAGTTCTGACTACAACGCATGCGCCGACTACAGGACGAGAATATAATTATTAACCAAACCAACAGCTAGCATATTCGCTGTGTTTAATTACGTCATGATTCTACGCTCACCACCTCCGTTGTGGGGACTGACAGAACTGTGACAGGACTGAAGTCAGAGTAACTCGGTTGCAATTCTGTCCATACCGGCCTGCCAATCGAGCACCCCCGTTAACTCAAAGAACGTTATCAACTGCGGTAGTGTCCATGTTTTCGTAAGTCAACGTAACACCGTGTACCTCCATGTTTAATGACTGTCGCCATCAAAAAATGAAGTGATGCAAAACAAAAATAAAATATGAAAAAAAAATAATTGAATAATCGTATTAAGACCCCCCCCCCCCCCAAATAATAAAAAAAGGCCAGTGCGATTTCATATTGTACGCTGGTTTATTTCTAATGGAATCTTTAACACAGGGTGTACTTTTAACAACTTTTTAATATTTAAAACAATATTTCATATTTTTTTTTTTTTCTAATATTTGATTTTATAGTTTTAATATTTCATTGTATACTTCTAATATTTAATTTTATAGTGTCATATTTATTTCTTGATTTATATTAAAAAGAATTTTTTTTATATATTGAAAAATAGTCTTAATGTAGGTTATTGTAATTAGCTTATATATTAAACCAAAACATCATTAATTCTGTAAAAATCTATATTTTTATTTGAGATGTTATTTATTATTCTCCTAGATGGAGTTTACACAAACAGTTGTTATTTGTTTTTGAAAAAAAGTGTCTGTTTGTTCAAATAAGCTGTATATTAAATTGATAAACCAATATTGTTAAACAGGCATTATACAAGAACTAAGTCTGCCTATTGCAGGTCTTTCTTTCGGCCTTGAATTAGACATCAATTAACTTATCCGGGGGGGGGGGGCTGAATGGTTAGCACGCGGGCTGTATTATACGGTCTGTCATTGAGTTAACTGGCGGGATTTCGATTCCCCGGTTGTACGTGACAAGGAGTAGGGTCGCCTGTCCAACCTTGTGGGTTTTCTCCGGGACCTGCGGTTTTCTCCCACTGCTAAAGACCCCTATGCGCAAGCGGATTATTGTAATAAAATTGAACCATGTGTTAGTCCCGAAATTACCTAGTTTGTGTCGAGTGGACGTTAAACCCCATCTCTCTCTCGCTCTAACTTATCCCGACCATAATCAACTCTAGATGCAATCGAATGGCTCCGATTTTAAGTAGATTGTTCGGCCATTTAATAATTTAATTTAAAAATGGAGAAGCGGGGCTAAAACTCGAATTACCACTATTCCAGTTACGATCAATGCACACATCTTGTCAATACTACAAATAATGATAACTTCGCTCAAAATAAAGGAATTTGAATGACATTTTCAATATCATTTTGCATTATCTATTTTTAAACTGCTATGTATAGCGAGAACGACCAACTCTTTATCTACATCTTTTAAATTAGGGCAAGAAAAACATAATACCTGTGTTTACGGTTATTTGGTCCCAAAAATAGGTCTGTCGGTTGGTCGGAAAAATTTTTTGTTTATATTTTGTTACATGAGGTTTGTATTGTCTATTTCCCGGCGTTTATGAGACTGATAAATGAGAAACAATACGTTTAGAGTCAACGATTTCGGCTGAGAAAAATTGGGTCGGTCGGGTAAACGTAAACACATGTATTTTTTATTTTTGGCCTTATCGTATGGTTTGTTTCTTTTATACTTGTTGTGACAAACTTAGACTGGATAACCGGCTCAAATACGTCAGAATCTCTCCTACTCACTGTTTTTCAGACTTGTTTATTAAAATAAATTTCCCATTCTCCCAAACAGCGTTATCTTCCCCTGGATAGCGAGACTTGTATGGGAGAATATTATGTAGACGTCGTGACGTAAGAACATGTCTGACGTCATTTAGAGCAGGTGGTTATCCAGTCATGCCAAACTACGCCCCCTTTATTCTTATATGGTATTGAAGTCGTTTAGTTTAACTTCCGAACCACAAGCGGTGAACTACAAAATGAATCTCGATCATTTTGACTCTTACTGCTGTAAAAAAAAAAACCCCAAAAAACCCCCAAAATAGGAGGGCTAGGTTTCCAAGGTATCATAAGGTCGGTCATTGAGTCAACTGGCGTGGTTTCGATTCCCCACTCGTACATGACAAGGGGTAGGTTCGCAAGTGTCCATCCAACCTGGTGGGTTTTCTCCAGGCTCTCCGGTTTCCTACCACAGCTAAAGACCGATACGCGCAAGCGAGTTATTGGAATAAAATTGAACCAAATGTTAGTCCCGAAATGAGTCAGTTTGTGTCGATTGGACGTTACCACCCCCACTCTCTCTCCCCAGCTCTCTCTCCCCAGCTCTCTCTCTTGTAAGAAAATTTTGCTTCTATAATTTGTTTCTAGTCTACCGTAATTCCAGTATTTTAACAAAGATGTCGCCACCACTTTTACAGGTCCCGTTTATACATTGGAATGCGCGTAAAAGATCCCTTGGCAGTTGGAATTGGATATAAGAGTAGGCCATAGTGCCGCTGCCCGGGCAAAATTCCCCTCATAGCACACTGTATGGCGTATGCCCGTCTTCATTAGCCCACTGTAGGAGCAGAACAGTAGGACGTTAAACCCTATTTCATTTCATGTCATCACTTTTACAGAGACAAAATGATCGAGACCCGGTTTGCCTTGTTTGAGTGTTTGGAAGTTAGACCAGTTGTATTGATGTTCAAATCTAATTGTCTTTTACCTTATATTTCAGAGTGCTAGGCCCAGTAGTCAGCGGACCGTTCAAGAAACCACTGTAGAAAAATGACATTCACTTTGTAAATAATGATGTTAATTTATTGATTCAATTTTTAAAGAAAATATGGTCATTAAATTTATCTTTTTTTTATATTATGAACCAAAGATTCTCTAGAAATTTAAAGTCCACGACGCGATCAACCAAGAAAACTGATTAGGTTTTAAATAGTTTACTAACAATCTGGTTAAAACACAGATCCTATTTCCTTTCGGTTTTTTTTATAGTTCAGTATTTCGTTTTACTTGTTTGTACTACACTAGGATCTGGAAGAGTTGTTATATAACCTGCGTTCTGGATGATGTGATGGATTAGCCAATAAAAAGGTCTTTTAAGGCAAGCTTTTGGTGTGAGGTGCACGGAACTGTGGGTATCCACTAGAAACATCAATGCTGATTGGTTAATCAAAAGCCGCTCGGATGACCTCTGACACGACCTCCCAAAACAACTAGTCAGATTTTCATGTAGTGTAGGCCATCGAATGTATAAAAAGGGAAACGATCTGTATTTTAATTAGATTGGTTTAGAAACTGCAGAAAAACGTCGAAATCGTTCAAATTCTCAAAACTAACACAAATACTCCTTGAGGACTACGCTTTTGAAAACCTCCATTAGCCATTCAAGATGGCTGCCATTTGTAAAGATGACTGACTTTCAGTTAACGAAAGATCGCTGTATGACCGGATTGATCATTATCATATATTTTAACTCCAGAACACTAGGTCAGATGCACACCAAAAACCAGACACCCCTAAGATCTCTGTACATAAATCACATAAACAACAAGGGCAATAATCATATCAGTTGTGGTCTCATGCAGATCAAAATTGAACTCGTACAATAACTTTCGATCGTTAACATCGTTAACATTATATGGTACGTTTTATATGAATCGGAAGGAAAAGTGGTGGACTCTGGTGTTCCATAACCATCGTACATACTCCACAACTATACAAGAAATGCGGGGGTCAGTGAACCAAGAAGTTGCCGTCAGACGCGTCCCAAATTCAAACTTATCCGATATATGTGGGTCATAAACATATATTTTAAATTTCATCAAAATCAAATAAAAATGGTGACCTTTTGACTGCCCGAGAACAAATTTGAACGGGCGTCCTGACGTTCAGACGTTCGGATATGGGCGGAGAAATATCCATTTTATTATGGAAGTGAAATGGGGTTTAACCCCCTACTTTTGTACACCAACAGGGCTAATAAAGACGGCCTTATAACTTGTACTTTGTAGTGTATTATGAGGGAAATTTTGCCCGGGCAGCGGCACTATGACCTACTCTTATGTCGAATTCCAACTGCCAAGGGATCTTTTACGTACACGCCATGAATTGTGCGCCTTACTCTTATTTCGAATTTCAACTGTCAAGGGTTATTTAGCGAGCCAGGGCCTTATCTACTGAGGCATTAAAGTGGGTGAGACGCTGGCTCGCTAGCCTGGAGGTCGGGTGTTCGATCCCTGCATTGGCTGAGAAAGTTCATCCAGATTTCCCGGCGTGGTTCCCCCTTGTCAGTGATGCAGGACAGACGGCCTGACAAGGACAGCTGTCTAGTCCTTCGGATGAGACGAAAAAACCGAGGTCCCGTGGAATGCACGTAAAAGATCCCTTGGCAATTGGAATTCGATATAAGAGTAGGCAATAGTGCCGCTGCCCGGGCAAAATTCCCCTCATCGCACACTGTATGGCGTATGTCCGTCTTCATTAGCCCAGCATAGGAGCAGAACAGTAGGACGTTAAACCCCATTTCATTTCATTTCACTGAGGCATTACTTTTTCAGACATGAACAGCAGATTTAAAGATTATGCTTGGACATTATGTATTCCTTTAAAGGGCACAAAGCTTTATTCCTTAGAATCTTTAAAAAAAAAATGAAATTGAGTTTAACGTCCTACTGTTCTGCTTCGACTGGAGAGAGAGAGAAATGGAGTTTAACGTCCACTCGACACAAACTAGGTCATTTCGGGACTAACGTATGGTTTAATTTTTATTTCAATAATTCGCTTGCGCGTGGGGGTCTTTAGCTGTGGGAGGAGACCGGAGGACCCCGACAAATCTTACGAGGTTGGACAGGCGACCCTACTCCTTGTCACGTACAACCGGGGAATAGAAACCACGCCAGTTGACCCAATGACAGACCCTACGATACAGCGTGCACGTGCTACCCATTCGCCCCCCCCCCCCCCGCCCCTGCCTCCTCCGATTGGACTAATACGGGCATACTCCATACAGTGTGCTATGAGGGAAATTTTAACGGACCACGGCTTTACGATCTACTCTTATATCGGATCCTAACTGCTAAGGGGTCTTTTACGTGCACAGGAAGTGATTTCCATTCATTTTTAAACTTTGTATTGTAATTCTTAATCATTTTTAAAAAAAATTATAATTTTCTTTCAAATATCTTTTTAAAAATACGTGAATTGTCCAAATTGAACAGTAATAGTTTGAGCCTGCTTAGTCCATTCTACGCGTTTTCTAAAAATTATTGTGTCGTGAATAAATGAAATGAAATGAAATGGGGTTTAACTTCCTACTGTTCTGCTCCTAACCTGGGCTAATGAAGACAGGCATACGCTATACAGTGTGCTATGAGGGCACTACGGCCTACTCTTATATCGAATTCCAACTTCCAAGGGATCTTTTACGTGCACGCCAATGTGTACACGGGGACCTCGGTTTTTCGTCCCATCCGAACGACTAGACAGCTTTCCTTGTCAGCCCCTCCGTCCTGCATCACTGACAAGGGAGAACCACGCCGGAAAATCTAAATGAACTTTCTCGGCCAATGCAGTGATCGAACACACGACCTCCAGGCTAGCGAGCCAGCGTCTTACCCACTTAGCCACGCGATCCTCGTGTCGTGAATAAGCCATTTTTGATTACACCCATTATCTTGTGGGCTATGTTTTTCTTTGTAAATTACCCTCGAAGTCACAGAGTACACGAGTCGTGTACTGATTATAAAATGTTAATTGTGTCTTAAATAATGGATATTAGGATCCCATAATTTCACGGCAAGATAACAACATCAATATTGATTGGCATGGATCAACATCGAACTCTAATTCGTGTTTTGAAATTTTGAATATTATAGAAAACAAATGAGTAACTGGTTAAGTCATTTTAAGCATCGGAAGGGGCGAAAAACCGAGGTCCCGTGTATACTTTGGCGTTCCACGTAAAAGATCCCCTGGCAGTCGGAATTCGATATAAGAGTAGGTCATAGTGCCGCTGCCTGAGCAAAATTTCCCTCATAGTACACTGTAGGGCGCATGCCCGTCTTCATTAACCTAGTAGGCGCAGAACAGTAGGGCGTTAAACCCCATTTCATTTCATTTCCTTTTAAGTCCAGGGGGGTTGGATGGCCGAATGGTTAGCACGTGCGCGCTGCGCTGTATCATACGGTCTGTCATTGAGTCCACTGGCGGGGTTTCGAATCCCCGGTTGTACGTGACAAGGAGTAGGGTCGCCTGTCCAACCTCGTGGGTTTTCTCCGGGTCCTCCGGTTTCCTCCCACTGTTAAAGACCCCTACGCGCAAGCGAATTATTGAAATAAAATTGAACCATGTGTTAGTCCCGAAATGACCTAGTTTGTGTCGAGTGGCCGTTAAACCCTATTTTTCTCTCTCTCTCTCCCTTTTAAGTCCAAGCTTAGGACTTGAAGTGCAGTCGCCGCATCTCAGACTTTCGTTCGTTCATTCCTAGAGTTTTACGTTCACTTCCACCAAGAATGATATCGTAGACACCGCAGGCTTTATTTGCTTAAATCTCATATAGGATAACTTCATAGTCCTTTGTTCTCACTGGTTTCTATGGTGATGAACCACCAGTTTTAACAACGTTACAATTAATCTTTGATTTAACTTAAAGCTCTGTACACACTGCCAACATTTTCGGTAACATTTTCGGAAACATCTCGGCAATACGCCTGGGCAACAAAATTTTGGCCCTGTATACACACGGCAACTTAACAACCATTCCTTGCTGGTAGCTGCCATTTTGTCTACATCACTTGACTCCAGGTAGATCATGTGATTTATGACCCATTTCTGATTGGATAAAACTCTGCAACATCATTAGCATCTGGGCAACAAAATTGATCGTGTATTTATTTCGGCAACATTTGGACAACATGTTGCCGAATGTTACCGAACTGTACACACTATCAACTTTTTTCACCAACATCGCACCTGATCAACATGTTGCCGAAAATGTTGGCAGTGTGTACAGAGCTTAAGTCCCCAGAGGAGAAACAGTATAATTAACCGTGTTTCACTTTTATCACGTGTCACGGGAATCAAATCAAACATTTCTAGGATTAAGGTCGTTAAGCCAGAAACCTTTTTAAGTTGTGTTAATGAACCTCACAATAACATAACAAACCGATGTTTAGCTAACGATGTCTATAAACACGGCAAAATCGATCATTTAAGATCTTTATACTAGGTTTCAACTATCACGATTTGCGCTACGATTGAAATCGTGGTTTTATTCGTGGAGTAATGGGGATGATCCTATTAGGTTTTATCATATATTGAGGGCAGTTATAGCAATCGTGTTGATCGTATCGAAACGTATCCGAACGTATCTGCACTTACAGATCGTTGAGATAATCCTATCGTAACGCATTGCAAGGCAGTGTGAACCTAGCATAAGGCGTTACGGTGTTACGATAGGATTATCTCTATTGTCCCTGTTGAGACAATCCTATCGTTACACATTGCAAGGCAGCGTGAACCTAGCATAAGGCGTTACGATAGGATTATCTCTATTGAGTCTACAATCTGCTACGTGCAGATACCTTCGGATATGTTTCGATACGATCAACACGATTGCCACAACTGACCTCAATATATGATAAGACCTTATAGGATCACCACGATTACTCCACGGTTAAAACGGGGATAGTCGGAACCTAGCATTAATGACACCCTTCGTCATTACCCCGATTTGTAATAATGTATTCTCAGGGCCCTCATATAGGGGGGGGGGGGGCTGAAGGGGGCATTATGCCCGGAGCCGACACTTCTTGGGGCGGCAGCAAATTATCTAAGTGCATCACTATC